AAAAAAAACATGGGCATATTGATGTACTTATGCCGTGTAGAAAGTTTGAGTTGATTTTCACTATAAATTTTTTGGGTATTTTCTAAAAATTGGTCATTAAAAAAATGTTCATAACTTGAAAAATTTAAGTCGGAATCAGTTCAAACTTTCTACACAGCATAAGTACATCAATATGCATAAGAAATTGTGATAAAAATTAGGGGTGATTTCAAAGCCATTTTTCTGAAAAAACCATGGGCTATAGCCTTGGGTATTTTTCAAAAATTGGCCGTTTTAAAAAGTACTAATAACTTGAAAAATTTAAGTTGGAATCAGTTCAAGCTTTCTACACAGCATGAGTACATTGATATGTATCAGAAAATGTAATAAAAATTAAGAGTGATTTTGGAGCCATTTTTCTGAAAAAACCATGGGCTATAGCCTTGGGTATTTTTCAAAATTTGGCCGTTTAAAAAAAATGTTTATAACTTGAAAAATGTAAGTCGGAATCAACTCAAACTTTCTACACAGCATAAGTACATCAATATGCATCAGAAAATATAATTAAAATTGTGGGTGATTTCGGAGCTATTTTTCCAAAAAAAACCATGGGCATATTGATGTACTTATGCTATGTAGAAAGTTTGAGTTGATTTTCACTTAAATTTTTGGGTATTTTCTAAAAATTGGCCATTTTAAAAAATGTTCATAACTTGAAAAATTTAAGTCGGAATCAGTTCAAACTTTCTACACAGCATAAGTACATCAATATGTATCAGAAAATGTAATAAAAATTGGGGGTGATTTTGGAGCCAATTTTTCAAAAAAACCATGGCTATAGCCTTGGGCATTTTTCAAAAATGGTCATAACTCCTAAAATTTATGTCTGAATCAACTCAAACTTTCTACACAGCATAAGTCCATCAATATATGTCAGAAAATGTAAAAAAAGTCAAAGCCTGTTTTTATACATTCATGTACATGTGCAGGTATAGTGTGACTTACTAAATGATTAACAGGTAATGGAACTGGCTCTGAACCTACATAATAATTAATAATAATAATGAATCATAACTAAATTTAAATAATTAACAGTGAGTATTGTTACAAATTTAATAAAATAATGATGATCAATTTACAGTACATGTACATGTATTATGCATGTGTACTATAATCCTGATCAGGAGTCCATAATGTGGGTAAAGAAGGAGTAGGAGTGTGAAGCGCCCCCCACTTTAATGAGATTTTCTTTCTGCTTACCAGAGCTAGCGGATATACTATTTTTAGACGAGGGTGTGGTCACTTTTGACCACACCTTACACATGTTGATACATGGAGGCTTGCTAATTTTGCCATGCCACTAAAAAAAGAAGCCAAGAGCAGCTAAATTCGTGAAGAAGGATGTGGATTATATGGTAAAAAGGCTATTTGAAGAAGAACACTACTGCTATGATGATACCTAAGCTGCGTTCTGGTACCACATTAGCTTTCTTCAGTGGTCACAATACTTCTTAAAGCATGTCTTACAGGTGTATCAATCCTAAAGCAATTTCTGGTAGCTAGCTTAGGGGATCTCCTGGAGGTTTATTGCCTGAAGTAACAAAAACTTCTAGAGAAACTGCTTAAAAGCTATGTAGATATAGTAATAGACTCATCCATTTTGCGTAAGGTGTGGTCAAAAGTGACCACACCCTCGTCTAAAAATAGTATATCCGCTAGCTCTG